TTTAGGTGCGCACTGCTCACACCCCAGTGGATTCGCCTACTCCCCGTGATAAAAAGTAGAGAGGCGGCCTCTGATGGTCACTTTCTAAGTCGCTGTTGTTGTTGTTGGAAAGGTAAAAGTCGTGTCCTTGCAAAAACCCGGCACAGGAACGCTCGTCTCGTGACTTTGCGCGGCGACCGTGTGGCACTGTGTGCGCGGGAGCGATGCCCTCCTTCAAGTGGGGCCAGACGGAGGGGGTTGCGGACCGTTGCGCGCGCTCAGGGCGAGGAGGGCGGCGGGCTCCCCATTCTGATTCTCACGCATTCCAGGGCGATCCCGGGAGGGGCGGCTCGCGGTCCCCCCAGCGGAGGCGGGACAGACAGCGCGGGGGGTCGCGGTGGCCCTGGCGCCAGCCCCCCTTCTGTCCGGGAGTGCGGAAGAGGCTAAGTGGAGACGCGTGACGTCGTCGTCCTGCGAGCGTTGTGTCCCAGTACGGGGCGCAGGCGAGGCGCAGAGGGACCCCCGGCACCGCCGCCCAGCAGCCCCCGTGCGGCGGAAGAAACCTTTCCCCTTGAAAGCCGCCACCGCTAACGCGCGGCGAGCGAAAACAGGGAAAAAATGAGTTATCTTTCCGCGGGTCCACGTGGGGACATTTTCAAGCCAGAGAGTGGTTGGCTCGGTGGTTGGGTTGGACTACACATGAACTTTTGTTTGCTGAGTGGACATGGAAGCCGTATGTCTTTTTCGAATAGAGACCGCGTTTGTTAAAGTCGCATTCGTCCACACGGGCCGGTTTCTGCCATTGTGCCACACTGACCCACTTCTGCGTGGGAAAGATGGTAAATTTATAATAAAACGAGACTCACTCCCCCCTTTTCCTTTCCCGCTTCGACTTGTGTCCGCCCGGGCTCTTTTCTTTGTTTCTTTCCCGCTCGAGAGGACCGAAACTTTTTCCCGCGGCCGGCCCTTGGCCGCGGCCGTCTATGTCCGCCCCCCGACTTACCTGTTTGCTGGAGGCGGCGGCGGCGGCGCTCCGGCTCGGCTCGGGTAGCCCTGCGCTGGCCCCGGCCGGGCACTTGACTCTGTCCCGCTCTGCTCCGCTCGTCACTGATGGTCGGCTCACAGAGGGACACACCTCCTCACTTGACCCGTATCCCACTCGGCGTTCACCAAATCACAATTGCACTCCAACACACACACACACACACGCACACACAGTTAGAGGCTGCCAATCAGCGGGCGTCACATAGTAATTCCTCTGGACACGCACACCACGTCCCGCTGACGCGGCGGGGGCGGACGCGTATGCGGGGCCGCGGGGGCGCGCGGCGGGGGCGGCACACACACGGGGGCGGCGCACACGCGGAGGCGAGGATACGAGCGCGGCGGGGCGGGCGAGCGGCGCGACGGCGGCGGGGCGCTGCGCAGCGAACCGACGCTGGTGGACGCGCAAGCTGTACTGCCGAGGCGGCGCTGCGCGGCCCAGCCCAGACCGCCGCCCCCGCCGCCCCCACCCCCGACACGACAGCGC